GAACCAGAGAAGAACCAGAGCCTCTTCTCAGGGTGACGCCCACAAACATCAGAAACTCAGGAGGTCTCGCTGTGTTTAAAGCTCAGATGAGCTTAGTTTGGATTTACAAATGTGTGTTGGACCAACATCAGGGCGGCCGGCTTATCAGCAACAGTTTACCGGGACATCTTGTGTAACACTGAAGTGATTAAGTACTTCAGTTGAGAGAGAACACGACCCCTGCAGAGGTCAGAGGTCGGGCCCGCGGCTGCTTTGCTTTTTTAGCGCCTTTCGTTAGCGCCGCTCTGTTCTGACGTTTTCACGGGGGCTCGCTTTTATCCGTCGCCAGCATCCAATCACGAGGGATGAATATTAGCCAACCACAGCACAGTAGGGCGGGACTTGAGAGCACGTTTTCAGGATCTATAGAGCGGAAAATGAGTATTTTAAACTACATGTTTAGAATTGATGTGTGTCAAAAATATTTCTGACTGGCCAGTAAGAAAGCGGCAACGTTTAGTTGTCAATTATAAATTAATCACCAACTATTTCGATCATCAATTTGAATCATTTTTAAACAAAATTCTCGGATTCCAGCATGTGAATATTTTCAGGTCTTCTCTGACTGTAAACTGAATATTTCTTTGGCCAAAACAAGAAGTTTGAGGTCGTCAGCTGGAGCTTTAGGAAACCAACAGCCAATCGAGAATGAAAATAATGGTTAGCTGCTCAGCTCTGACGTTTCTCTATGAAACAGACTGATCCTGGTTCAGTTTGTGGGTTCATTCAGGACTTTCTGATCCTCCGTTTTGAACCCGTTCAGGCGCCACAGCTGTACTGCAGTAGCGTGCGTACGTGTACTGCAGTAGCGTGCGTGTACTGCAGTAGCGTGCATGTACTGCAGTAGCGTGCGTGTATTGCAGTAGCGTGCGTGCATGTACTGCATGTACTGCATGTGTATTTGTATATGAAGTACCTTCAGGCTGTAGGAAGATGCGTCCGATCTCTCCGTACACCGACAGCAGGTTCCGCAGGTGTTTGGGCCGGAACCTCGGAGGGATGTGACCCAGGTAGAGGATTCCTGGAACGCACTTCCTGTCTGTTGCTCCAACGCCTTTCTGTTTGGTCGTCTTCTTCTTCTTTATCCTGGCAGCACCGTCACCATCATCATCATCACCTCCATCTTTGTCTTTCTGCTCTTCATCTTCATCACCTCGTGTCTCTGCAGCAGCTCGTCCTCCCTCCTCCTCCTCCTCCTCAGCCTCCTCCTCCTCCTCCTCAGCCTCCTCCTCCTCCTCAGCCTCCTCCTCCTCCTCAGCCTCCTCCTCCTCCTCAGCCTCCTCCTCCTCCTCCTCCTCCTCCTCCTCTCTTTGAGCTGTGGTCTTCATCTCCTCCTCCTCCTCTCTTCTCTCCATCTCTCTGCAGATTGATCACATCAGTAGAATCAACACACCTGTAAGTTCACTGAAACAAACTGACTCCAGATCAGCGTTTACTCTGCAGACAAACTGAACTGGTTCCACGTGGAGCCGTTTGATGCTTAAATCAAACACAGATTAAAATCAGAACTGATCATTAAAACAGATCCAGACTCTGCTTCTGTCTGATCACCAGCTACAAACCTACAATCCCTCCCTGTGAACGACTCACGCCTTGCCAACGAGTTGAACCAGTTTTACTGTTGCTTTGAAAGACAACGGGACAGACCTGACACGTCCCCCCTCACACTGATCGGCCACAGTCCACCACCTCCTCCCCCTCTCTTACCATCCTGGAGAGGGATGTCAGACTGTTCAGGAGGCAGAAACCGCGCAAAGCAGCTGGTCCGGACTCTGTCTCCCCCTCCACCCTGAAGCCCTGTGCTGATCAGCTGTTTTTAACACCTCACTGGAGACGCGTCATGTGCCAGCCTGCTTCAAGGCCTCCCTGTCTCCAAGAAACCAAGGACCACTGGACTTAAGTGTAATTTATACTTCTGCGTTGAATTGACGGCACAGGCTACGAGGCTCCGCCGTCGCCTGACGTGCACCTCCTCAAAAATTTAACTACACGTCGACTCGACGCGGACCGCAAGCTCTGTGATTGGTCGGCTGGGCAGCCTCGCAACGCCTCTGAGCCGACAGGAAGTGCCCCGCGCTTTGAATTATCTTTTACTAGCGGCCAAAACGGCGGCTGTAACACGGTGGATCGATGTATTTGAGCGTCACAACCCGAGCGAAATGACTCGTTTCGCTGTCAGAATGTGATCCACTCGCTCGAGAACATTTGAAAAGGCTGCACCAGCCGCACGTTTACAATTTTACCCACATTCATGTTAGCGGAGCGCTAACAGGAAGTTAGCCTGCTCAGCCGGCAAAAGTCAACAACGCTGTAGCGCTACTGCCGACTGGCGTTTGGGGGTGTAATTGCAGAATGACGGAGAAACCGACGCACAAGGATAAATGCGTAGCTACGTACGTGCGTATAAATCAAGCTTAAACGACTTCAGACCCGTCGCCCTGACCTCTGTGGTTATGAAGTCCTTTGAACACCTTGTGTTGTCTCACCTAAAATCCAGAAAGAGCCCAGCTCCACCCTCCCCCATCATCCTGTGTGACTCCCCAGTCACCACTGTGGACTCCTTCCGCTTCCTGGGCACCATCATCTCCCAGGACCTCAGGTGGGAGCTGAACATCACCTCCCTCACCAAGAAGACCCAGCAGAGGATGAACTTCCTGCTGCAGCTGAAGAAGTTCAGCCTGCCAAAGACAATGATGGTGCACTTCTACACCTCCATCATTGAGTCCATCCTCACCTCCTCCATCACCATCTGGTTCGCTGCTGCCACTGCCAGGGACAAGGGCAGGCTGCAGCGTATCATTCTGTCTGCAGAGAAGCTGATTGGCTGAAATCTTCCTTCTCTTCTGGACCTGTACGCCTCCAGGACTCTGAGGCGAGCAGGAAAGATTGCAGCTGACTCCTCCCACCCCGGAAACAAACTGCTTCAGACTCTCCCCTCTGGCAGGAGGCTGCGGTCCATCAGGACCAAAACCTCTCGCCACAAAAACAGTTTCTTTCCGATGGCAGTGGGCTTCCTCAACAGGGCCCCATACTGACACTCAAATAATACAAATGTAAACACTATTTCATTGCCTATCCTGCACAAACCTGGCACATTGCACATATTTGTTGTTAATTGTTGATCTTTGTTGTTGTATATTTTTACATCATCAGTTTATATATTTCATTGCAAAACGTCTGCACAACACAAACCCAGAATAATGCACATGTAAATATCTGCTACGTTGTTCTTTCTCTGCAAATTCATTTTCTGTCAATTCAGCTGTACTTTTATAAACTGTTAGAGTTTCATTTATAAGAAAATTTCACATTTTATAAACTCTGCATGTGTTTGTGTGTAAAAATGTGACAAACTGAAGCTGTCAGATTTACGGAAGAAAAAAGTACATCTGAGATGGAGCAGAAGGAGAAAAGAAAAAACTCAAGTAAAGTACAAGTACCTGTAACTGATAATTATACTGTCCAGCATCATGTATTAGTTTAGTATTAATCATTAAAAGGGTTCAGTTACTGCACAGAGATCCTGAGTGGAGATTAAGAGTTCGGCTCTGACCGCCGCGCTGCTTTTAATCTCTCACTGTTAATCAGAGTTCCTGCGTTTTTAGATTAAAACTCACCTTCAGTTTAACGTTTTAAAAATCCTCTTCAGCTCGCTCACGTGTGGGGAAACTCTGTCGCGACTGAATGACGAAACGAAGCGTCACGATGGCAAAAAGTAATCTGAAGCAGAACTTCCGGTTGTGCCTTCAAAATAAGGACTCCAAACTTGACTTTTTAAAAAAAACACAGCAGTTTTCTTCTGTTTATTTCACTGACAATTAATTCATTAGTCATTTACAATGAGTGTTTTGGTTTTGAGAGGGTTGTTAGAGTTTAGTTGTGTTCGTGGTAAAAGATGAAACGTCTTCAGTCAAGTCCAGATGTCGTCGATTTAACCTTTCTTGGATGATCAGTTTAGACTTAATATTTTAGAAGAATTAATTTGCCTAATTTAAACCCAAATAAATACTACTTCATTTTTCATTTATCATCAGAAATGTATTATCTACAATCTAGGTTCTCAGGACCTCTTTGTTGTTTCTGACAGAACTGCAGAGAAATATTATTACATTTAACCAAACCTCTTCTGAATTTAGAGGTAAATGTGAGGGTACTTCTTCCCCTGGGTATTTCCCTAGTGATGCCAGCTCATACTAGTATCTATTGTTACTTGTAGATCTCTTACTGTGCTTACCTGATGCTCTGTTGATGCTTGTATGTTGTTCTTCATTTAATAAGTCGCTTTGGATAAAAGCGTCTGCCAAATGAGTAAATGTAATGCAAATGATTGGCCAGGTAGTTTACACTGTAAATTAAATAAATAAATGAATATAATCAAATATTTCTAGATTGAATACATTTAAATATAGTTACAATTAGGCCATTAAATTAATCATAAAATAGTTTGGCAGTGGGGAGATTGATAAAGGGGAAGAATGGAAGTAAATAACATTGACCAAAGTTAATGAAAAGTGTAGCCTATCTCTAATCTACATTTATCTCTCTGTATATATGTGCAACTGTATATTGTTTTATTTTATTTGAATTATTTTCTTATTAATTTTTTTTGTTATTAATTATTATTATTTCCACATTTTAATATAGCCTACATTAAATTATCTGCTAAGTTTTGTGTGTGTAGCATAAAGGGACCTTCCTTTTATTTATTTAATTTAATTTGTATAATGAGAAATAAACTACCTTGTATTATCTTTAAAAAATTAAAATACGAAATAATTACAACATTGTATATGGAGGGAGGTTTTAGAGTTGTTACAGTTGTCTGGGACTAAAAACATTTTTCTGAAAGTCGTTATTTTATCAGCTCACATGGCCTGGAAGGCGAACAACTCTTACTTTGAAAAGTCAAACCGGAACTGTGCTTTTCTTTCTCCGGTGAGTTTGCTGCTCGGAGGTGAAAGGCATGCCGGGATCCCTGTCATGGCGGGTTGTTTTGAAGGAGGAAGCTAACGTTAGCGGTTAGCAGCGAAGATGCAGAGACCGGTTTCCAGTTTGTCTCTGAACCCGAGTGTGAAAGTTAAACTGGTCAGCGCTGGTTTCCAGTTCACCGCAGACCTGCTGCACCTGAAGCCGCTGCAGCTCAGCAAAGGTGACGCTTTAAAACACCGTCAGTCGCTCCGGTCGGCATCACTCCGCACAGAACTCCCGTACAAAACACGGTATTCAACTAAAACTTCATGTCTCATCGTTGAACGTCAACACTTGGTCGTAGACACTTTGGACATCTATTAATAATTTCACCTGAATAAATTCGGCATGTAGAAAGAACACAGAACAGCTCTTAATATTAACTAAATTGCAATTTTAGTCGTCTTTACACTCTCACCAAACTCCGGTCAAAATATATTGTTTTAGTAAAACTTAATTTATCATCATTGAACATGAACACTTGGTTGTAAACACTTTCGATATATATTAATACTTTCACCTGAATGTATTCGGCACGTAGAAAGAACACAGAACAGCTCTTAATATTAAATAAAATTACACTTTTAGTTGCCTACACTCACCAAACCTCGGTCAAAATAACTACACAGAACTCCATACAAAATACCTCGGGTTTAACTTTTCTGGTCGTCGGGGAACATGAAAAACAACTTTAGACATACATTAATGATTTCACCTGAATAAAATCGGCAGAAAGAGCTCTTAAAATTTAATAAATCCCAATTTTACTTCTCTTTACACTCGCCAAACTCCATTCAAAATAACTCCGTTTCTAACGTCCAGACTTATCAGTGAAGTTTAACAGTTGGAAACACTGCTTCTGTAAATCACATCATTCTTATAATTAACTCAGGCTTTAACAGTAACAAAGCAGTTCTTTGTTTGAAACAAAGATTAACTTAAAACACTTGAGAGCACTGTTATGAATACATGCACTCTGACTCTGGTGCTTCTTCTTCTGTTTTTTGGGTGATTTCTAACTCTTGTTTCGGTGGAGTTTGAACGACCTAACTGTAAGTCACTGTTGACCAGAAGTGATATTTTCGTTCTGTTGCAGAGGCCGGTCTGTCCCAGCAGGAGGCGCTGGAGGTGCTGCAGGCTGTGGGGAGAGCCGGAGGAGGAGGGGATGAAGCAGGAGCAGCTGCAGGAGGAGGAGGAGAAGTGTCAGCCTCTCTGACAGCTCTGGAGCTCCTACAGAAGGAGGAGGAGTCGAGGAGCATCGTGACGTTCTCCTCTCAGCTGGATGCTGCTCTCGGAGGAGGACTTCCTGTCGGGAAAACTACAGAAATCTGCGGCGCTCCAGGAGTCGGGAAAACACAACTGTGGTCAGACACATGCAGAGACACGCAAACTATAACACACTTCATATGAGACATTATAAACCCGGAGATGAATCCAGATTTAACTAAACGAACCTTTTGAGCTCTTTGGTCAAGGAAACTGCCAGAGATCCTGTAGAAGCTGCTACAAGCTGAAAATAAAGTGTTCACATGTCGTTAAAATCAAAGTTAGAATCTAAAACTGGTCCAGTTTCAACTGTTAGATGTTATTTCTGTTCTGTGAGTAAAATCAGTCCTCTGCTATCTTCATCACAGGAGAAGAAGTCGAGATAGTAACGTGCGTTAATGGGATAAGAACGCATACACAAGTGCACTGTGACATGCTTTTATTGTGAAAGTTTACGTCTGCTGAGATTTAAAGGACAGATCTTCTGAAAATATTTTAGTGAAATGATATTCAGTATCCATGTTGTTTCTTCTCTGTGGATCAATAAAGTTATTGATGACATCATCCTCTCAGCCTGCAGCTGGCGGTGGACGTTCAGGTCCCGCAGTGTTTTGGGGGGGTCGGAGGTCAGGCGGTCTACATCGACACCGAGGGCAGCTTCGTGCTTCAGAGAGTCGTCGACATCGCCAGCGCCGCCGTACAACACTGCTCCTTTTTGGCCGAAGATGACGAGCAACGAGACGCCATGACGAATTTCACCGTGGACGCCATCCTGTCCAACATGTTCGTGGTAATGATGCATGACTGACTGGTTTATTTCGGTTTACAAAATACAAAAAAGCCAAGGAAAAAAGCCAATTTGTGTGAATATGCAATTTACAAGAATCTTATGTACTTAGACCAAAATTACTCGCAACATTTGCAACCGAAAAAGGAACAGACTGAAGCCCAAGGCTTATATTTGCCTATCCTATACGCTAAAATGCAAAATACCCGCAATACGAAAGAAACACAAGAAGAAGCAAAACAAAAACAAAATTCATTATTATTGTATTGTATTTATGAATCCACACAGAGAGCTACACCGTTTCAACTCATCACGAAGTCCATCCCTCAGTTTAACTCCCAAAACTGAAACACATCTGTATTTTATATTAGTTCTCACTTTACATGTTTCAAATATACACAGTCCTCTTAGGTTCTGCTTTCTTTTACTTAATTTAAAAACATTTTGAATACAAACAGGAAGGCTCCTATTTTTAACTCGAAACAGTACTTCCAATATTTTTGAGTACACAATGTCTACAAACTTCAATGTGCATGAGTCTATAAATAATTAGTTACTAGATTCACAGAAATGTGCTTTATTAATTATTCTAATAGCTCTTTTTTGTAGTTTAACTGTCTATATTTGTTTTATATGCATTTCCCCACATTTCAACACAATATGACATATGTGGTATTATCAGTGAACAGTACAATATAAGCAAACATTTTTCATTCAACAGATTCCTTGTTTCAACAGCTATAGATTTAGATCATTTACGTTTGATATATTCTATGTGTGGCTTCCAACAAACTTTATGATCTATAATCACTCCCAAAAAGTTGATTTCCACTCCTTTTAAATTCAGTTTTATTTCACAGTTGTTCCTAACACCACCAAACACCATAAATTTTGTTTAATTTTCATTAAGTGACAACTTATTAATGTCAAACCATTTTCTAAACATCATCATTTCCCTGTGTACTGTTTTTAATAATTCTTTCATATCATTTCATGAACAAAATTAATTTGTATTATCTGCAAACATAACACATTTCATCTTGTAAGAAACTGTACAAATATCATTTATATAAACTATAAATACCTTTGGTCCCAGTACTGAGCCTTGTGGCACACCACAGGTTACACTTCTAATCTGGGATTTTGTATCATTAATTCTTACATATTGAGCCCTATCGTACAAATAACTTTTCAACCAATGTTGTGTCACACCTCTTATACCATAGCGTTCCAATTTCTGCAGCTGCAAGGAATGATCAACTGTTTCAAATGATTTACGTAAATCAACAAATACACCTAATAGTGTGTTGTTTCCTACAGCTGTTGCTAAATTTTCCACAAATTCAATCACTGCTAAAGATGTCGATCGATTTCTTCTAAACCCATATTGATGGTCACTCAGTAAATCATATTTCTCAATAAAGTCATCATATTCACAAATAATATTTCAAGTATTTTAGAAAGTAGAGGTAGCAAAGATACAGGTCTATAATTTGATACAAGATGTTTATCACCATTTTTATAGATTGGAACCACCTTAGCCGTTTTAATTTTATGAGGAAAAACACCCGTTTCAAAGGATTTATTACATTTATAGGTCCATGTCTCAAGAATACAATCTATCACTTCTTTTATAAGCAACATCAATAAGTGTTATCATCAGTAGATGTTTTCTAGCCATTTCTAATACATCACTCTCACAAACTCCAGCAAGGAACATCGAATTACTGTTATGAAATATTAAAATTTTTACCCTCATCTCTTGGAAGGTCAATTCTGCCAAATGTGGCCCTACATTAACAAAAAAATCATTAAATTCATTAACTATTTCCTCGATATTTTCAGTAGTTCTACTATCCTAACAACATATGCTTTTTACTACAATTTCTAATCATGTCTTTAAGTACACCCCAAGTACCCTTAATATTATTTTTATTGTAACAGCTGATCATAATAATATTTTTTTTGCAATCTTAAAATAATTGTCAATTTGTTTTTATATTGTTTGTACTTTTCCTCCTTTTCCTTTGTTCGTTTTTTGATAAATTCTCTATAAAGCCTACTTTTTGTTTTAAAAGCTTTTTCCAAACCCTTTGTTAACCATGGCTTTCCCGGCCTTTTGGAATTTTGTTTAGCTTCTTTCAACGGACAATGTCGGTCATAGAAAATCAAGAACGTATCTAAAAATGCATCATATGACTCATTAGTATCCTCCTGCCAGTCATGATTTATCAGTTCTTCCTTAAGGGCCATAATTCCCTCAAGTGATTTTTTACCTAATTAAATAATTAGTCTTCTTATTTGTTCTAAATTATAACTTACTATTTACTGTAAAGACCGGCAAATGATCACTTATATCAGTCACTAATAATCCACTGTTTATCTTTCCCTTAGTTACATTTATAAAAATATTGTCAATCAAAGTTGCACTAGCCTTTGTTATTCTACTAGGTTTTACAATTAACGGATAGAATCTCAAACTAAACATAACATTAACAAAATCTGCAGTTTTGGAATGATCATTTGATTTCAGCAAATCAATATTAAAGTCACCACAAACCAGAATCACCTTATTATGTTTTTCATATAACTCAAAGATCTTCTTATTAAAATTATCAACACATGACCCTGGTGTTCTATAAATGCAACTGATTAATATGTTTTTAAACCCTTCAACCTTAATTTCAACAGTTACACATTCCATCAAATTATCAATAGCAGTTTTCATGTCACCATCGATCTTACATTTAAGTGCAGACATCACGAATATAGCAACACCTTTTATTAACCCTATTTACACTGAACATTTCATAGCCCTCTAGTCCATCCTGAAGTTCATTATCATCTCTCAGCCAGGTTTCCTTAAACCTTTTGAAGGTAATACTGTATTTAATTTTAGAAAGGTTACAGTAGAGACTCCGACTAATATTACTACTATATATGACGTCATGGTAACGGACACTCGACTGTTTCACACGATTGTGAGGGAACTTTCCTCGGAGGGCTCGGTGCAGGTGAAAGGTCACATGCAGAGATAGAAGTAGAACGACCTCTGACCTCTGTTTTTCTGTGTGTGACGACAGCTGGTCAGACGGGAACGTACTGTTACCTTGTAGGGGTGTCTTGAGAAACCGGTACTTTGGTACCAGGTTGATACTAAGATTCTGAAAACATGTACTCATTTTACAAGGTACTGAAAGGTGGAAGAGTGGAATTTCAACAGCTTGCTCATTTCTGAATATACTGACATCAAACCACGTCTCATCTGTTCTGGACATCCTCTCCTTCACAGCTGTTAGTTCTCTGTAATCAAATGTTTTTGTGTATGTTGTAATACATGGAGTTTTTTTTTTTGAATTGGTATGAGGAATCGTGGAATTATACTGGTATCGCTATCGACTGCTAAATTTCTTGTATCATGACACAAGTGCAGCTGCAGCGACGGCTCCGCCTCGAGTCGTCGAAAAGAGAAACAGCAGGCATGTTTCCATCCAATTGGCAAGTGAATTTTAAGCGTACTTTTGAAATGTCTTACAAAAAAAAAGACATTGCGAAATCTGTGCGTTTCCATCAGGTGGTTTGGAGCGAATAAACCGGGCTGCGGCGAGCGTCCTTACGTCAGTAGTTGACGTTACACATGGCTGTGATAAACAAGACGTCTGGGTTCAAACCAGAAACTAAACCAGGCGCACGAACCTGAGGGCCACTGATCTGAGAGAAACAGAGAGGTCGTCAGCAATGTGTTTCAAGCAGCAAGTTGCTACCAGCCGCGTCTCCGAGCATTATGGGAATATCCGGTGTTATGCAGAGCTCTGCACGCACCTCCAGATAATGCTTTTAAACGCTGTAATGTCCTTTGTGGGGTTCATCAGTGGAGATGAAGTGTTTAGAGTCGTTAATATGTTTACTTCAGTAACATAAGCTTCAGAGCTACGTTAGCTTCAAAGTTACGTTAGCTTCAGGAAAAGCTTCAGTTACGTTAGCTTGAGAGTTAACGTTAGTTTCAGTGACGTAAGCTTCAGTAACATTAGCTTCAGTCAGTGAGAGAAAAAGTTATGAGGGACTTTTGGGTTTGTGATCTTTGTAACTACGTATTTTCATAGTCTTACTGTGACGTTCTTAACTGAAATTATCTTTTAAACTGACAAATATCACGTGTGTAATTCAGGGCACAATTCAAACAGGATCTAAACAACAGCCGTCTCTCGTCGTTGACTACTGTACATATTTATGCTGAAGTGAGGTCCCGTGGGGCGTAAAGGGGGGGGGACTCTACATGTTTCTGAAACCTTCTTCATCAATAAAAGCTGACTAATTCACACCGATCAAAAGTCAGTCAGGAGTTAGTTAAAGTGATGTCATCAGTCGGCACCATGTGCAAAGATTCTGATTGGCTGTCTGTCTCACGCCTGTCAGGTGCGTTGCCATGACTACGTGGAGCTGCTGGCCGAGCTCCACCTGCTGCCTGACTTCCTGTCCGACCACCCGAGCGTCCGCCTCCTGGTGATCGACAGCGTGGCGTTCCCGTTCCGGCAGCACTTTGACGAGATGTCTCAGAGGACACGCCTCCTCAACGGCCTTGCCCAGCAGCTCATCACCATGGCAACCAGCCACAACATCGCCGTGGCAATGACCAACCAGATGACCACCCGGCTGCGAGGCGGCCAATCGCAGCTGGTCCCCGCCCTTGGGGAGAGTTGGGGCCACGCCCCCACCACCAGGCTCCACCTACACTGGGAGGGGCCGCGTCGACTGGCGACCGTCTTTAAATCCCCAACACAGGTGGAGTCCACCGTCCAATACCAGATCACCTCTGAGGGGTTTAGAGACGTTGACCAATCAGAGCAGCCGCAGAGCAAACGGCCTCGAACACACTTGGACCAATCAGCTACCAGCCAGGGAGACACCTGCAGCTGACTGTCAGCCAATCAGAGGCTGAGCTGAGTGTGTTTGTTTCATATTAAATGCATTTTTATTTTCTTTCTGCTTCTGATATAAAACACTTTTATTTTTATATATATAAGTCATAGTTTAAAATGTGTCTGGTTCTGATATTAGAGTTTAACACGTTTCAGCTTGTGTCCAGCAGGTGGAGACGGAGAGCAATGATCAAAGAAATGATCTGTACAGTCAGTGTATTAAACAGCAGCAGTTGTCTAGTAGAAGAAAATAAATCTGCGATGTAGGAAAACAAGTCAGGTAACAGACAACGCACTTTTTCTTCTACAGGGACGAGAATTTAAATTTAGATGCCTCTTCAAACTGCTCTCTTCCCATTGGCTCCCAGAGCTGAGGTCAGTGTGTGGACCAGGTGTTTCCTGTTGACTCGCACATGCTCAGTGTGACTTTTCTTTAATGTCCAGTATGAAGAGCACGAACATGTGAGTGTCCTCCAAACACCAGGTTACTATACAGAGCTGTTTATGTTAAGTCTTTATGTTTCATCACCTTTACCTGTTTGTTTGTTTGTTGATCAGGTGTTGGTTGTTGTTGGTTATTGTGTCAGTAAATACACTAAACATCAGCACCTTATTTTCCCTCAGTGCACCTGCAGGCGAACAGAAACAGTTTAACCTTCAGCTTGTTTTTAAAGAAGTGGACGTAGCCGCCGTGACGTCCCGCGTTGGTCTGTGGTTTTGGCCGTCGCCATCTTGTTGTTTTGGAACCAGACGTGACCATATTTGGAAGAGAGGGCGGAGCTAGCTAGCTTGGTTAGCAAGGTGCATCTGTAATTCACGTTAACTGTGATATTAGCTGGGATGCTAATTTAAGCTAGCGACAAACAGGCTTAAAACTAAACGTACTTATTGAAAAATGAGCAGCCGACTCCTGATGAGCTTTTTCAGCGGCGCTGGTTAAATTTACACAGAGCAGCAGATACGAGTCGCCTCTATCCTGATTGACAGGTCGCCAATCAGCTTGTAGCCCCGCCCTAAAGCCTCCCCTGCTTCCTGGTCTCTGTTCCTCTAAATGGGACCATAATTTACTAAATGAACATCATGCTGTGTTGAAGAAGACTTGAAACTAGCGACTGAGACCATAAACTCATCAGGAAAGTGTTTACTGAGGGAATAAATCAGCTGACAAGTAGAAACATTTTCTCACAGACTTCTTTCTGCAGCCGCTGGAGTCGCCCCCTGCTGGCCGCTAGAGAGGACGCAGGTTTAAGTCGCCCCCTGCTGGCTGCTGGAGAGGACGCAGGTTTAAGTCGCCCCCTGCTGGCTGCTGGAGAGGACGCAGGTTTAAGTCGCCCCCTGGAGAGGACGCAGGTTTAAGTCGCCCCCTGCTGGCTGCTGGAGAGGACGCAGGTTTAAGTCGCCCCCTGCTGGCTGCTGGAGAGGACGCAGGTTTAAGTCGCCCCCTGCTGGCCGCTAGAGAGGACGCAGGTTTAAGTCGCCCCCTGCTGGCTGCTGGAGAGGACGCAGGTTTAAGTCGCCCCCTGCTGGCTGCTGGAGAGGGCGCAGGTTTAAGTCGCCCCCTGCTGGCTGCTGGAGAGGACGCAGGTTTAAGTCGCCCCCTGCTGGCTGCTGGAGAGGACGCAGGTTTAAGTCGCCCCCTGCTGGCTGCTGGAGAGGACGCAGGTTTAAGTCGCCCCCTGCTGGCTGCTGGAGAGGACGCAGGTTTAAGTCGCCCCCTGCTGGCTGCTGGAGAGGACGCAGGTTTAAGTCGCCCCCTGCTGGCTGCTGGAGAGGACGCAGGTTTAAGGAGCTTCACTTTCAGACCCGGAGGTTCCTGCTTGGGTTTAACAAAGCCTGAACCTAAACCTGAAGTCTGAGTTAAATACACTTGAAGTGATACCCTATAACATACCCTGAGTTTCCATGACAGCTGATAGGAATTAGTTAAATTAATTCATAGCGCAGATAACAGGCTTCACTTTGTCAGAAAGAGCAAAAAACAGCAGTTATACTTTTAGATATTAGTGAGCGCATGTGCAGAGCACGAGCATATTTTCTGGAGAAAGTAGCAGCGAGATGTCGTGAGTGGGAGTGGCAAATAAATGTAAATGTATATTCATCTATTTATCCGAATGGAAATAAAAACATTTTTTATTTGTTTGTTTAGCTAATAAAGAAATTGGGACAAAAAAGGATTCATATGTTAAACTTTTTATTTAAGAAAAAAAAGGACAGTAAGCACAAAGAAAAAGTTAAAGAATAAGAGAGTAATTATGAAAGATCTGTCTCGTTAAACAGTTTAACTCAGCTTCACTAACAAACTGCAGCAGCTGCAGTCAGGAGGTTTGGTGCGTTTCCTTCAACACGGCGTGAATCTGAAGGAACCCTTCACCGCGTTCAACGTGTCACCGTGTTCAACGTGTCACTGTGTTCAACGCTTCACCGTGTTCAACGTGTCGCGCTCTCCCAGATCCAGCTGACGCTAACAGCAGCAACGGCTCAGGTCCAAAACACAGGTGAGCCGACGTTCACCTGTTATACTGAAGGGAAACCGACGATGGCTACAGGTGAGACCCAGAGACGCCGCTCTAGGACAGAGACTCCTCTCACTTTAGAGACAGGAAGGAGAGGAGGAAGGTCACCGAGCGCTGACAAGATCCGAGGTGAAGGAACCAGAACCGAGAGTCCCGGGCATTGACACATTTCTTGTGAGCAACGTCCTCCTTCACCAGCCTAAATATGTGCAGCCACCTGCTGGATGCTAAGACTCAAGACCTGTTGGCAGCAGGGGGTCACGGTGTTTCATTCGAAGTGGAGACGGTCAGTCTAAATGTGTAACACTGTAGGCGTACGCACACTTTGGTTCCCACGCTCACAGTGAGGTCAGAGGTCATTCTGTCTCTGCAGTGACCTTTCACGGAGGAGAGCTGAACGTCCACCGCCAGCTGCAGGCTGAGAGGATCAATAAAGAGAATCGATCATTTAAAAGATCAGCAGAGAAGAAACAACACAAATATTAAATATAAATCTATCAAAAGACTTTCAGAAATATGTCCCATCCTTTAAATCTCAGCAGATGTAAACTTGTCTCTTTAGTGATGTAATATAACCAGGCAACTTTATTTCTATAGTACATTTCAACATCAAAGCAATTCAAAGCAACAACGGGAAATATAAAGAAGACACTGAATGAGTTAAATAGAAAATTAACAAGATAAAACTAGATTATTTACTGTCTGTTTATTGCCCCACTGGAACGCTGCGCTCCCAGAATGCACTTTTGATTCCTCGAGTCTCAAAACAGAACAGTAGCCAGAGGCTTTAACTGTCAATAATTTATAATAATTTGTAATTTAGCTGATGCTTTTATCCAAACTGACCTACAAACTGTATGTTAGAGCAGCGGTTCTCAAAGTTTTTCACATTAAGGACCCATAAACTGTCCCAGAGTCCCCCATCTGATAGGAGTTCTGCTTTTTGATGTTTTGTTACAGAGTGTGTTCGAAACCCGTGACCCAAATAGGCACACATTCTGTCACTTATGCATGAAAATATAATGTAAGTAAATTATTCGCCTTTATTGCTGGCGAAGCAGCAAACCTCTGGAGCAACTAGGGGCTGAGGGTTTTACAGGGACACATTGATGGATGTGAGAAAATAAAACCCAAGTCTCCCAAACGAAAGGTATTTTTTTTATCCACTGTTCCATCGCCACACCTATCAAGCTCCTCTCCTGTGGAAGCAGGTTCCAGTTTGGGTTCACGTGGCATCTCCACATTTAAGAGTAGGCTTAAGACTTTCCTCTTTGATTAAGCTTATAGTTGGCTCAGGTGAGTCCTGAACCATCCCTTAGTTATTCAATTAAATTTTATTTATATAGCGCCAAATCACAACAACAGTTATCTCAGAGCGCTTTTCATAAAAGAGCAGGTCTAGACCGAACTCTGTGATGCTATTTACAGAAACCTCGAGCAGAACCATGGCTCAGGGTGGGCAGCCTACACAATATCCACACAGGTACAGACAGTAAAGGTGATGTTGCTATAGACTAAATGAAAAATGGTACAGATATTTATAGTAGTGTTAATGGTAACAATCGTAATGTTAATGATGCAGCATAACTAAGGGATGGTTCAGGACTCACCTGAGCCAGCCCTAACTATAAGCTTTATCAAAGAGGAAAGTCTTAAGCCTACTCTTAAATGTGGAGATGGTGTCTGCCTCCTGAACCCAAACTGGAGGTAAGAAGAATGATTTTGCTGCTATAAGCCTAGACTGCCGGGGGACTTCCCATGATGCACTGAGCTCTTCTTTCTCTCCCTGTGTATGCAACCTCATCCCAATAATGCATGTTACTAACTCGACTTCTCCCCTTTCTGCAGGTGCTTCTGGCTCTGGATCTGTGGTTGCCAGCTTCCTGTTGCCCCTGTGTTCCTGCTCAACATTTGCAGCTAAAATTATTATTACTATTACTATATCTGTTATTATAACCACAATTGTTCATTTTATTGATATTTACATCGTCACCTCCCCCCCCACCCCCAATCCTGGTTCAGCTTGATCTTTCTTCTCTATGACAGCTGATTTAAATCCAGAAACTCTGCACGTGACCTCCGGTTAGACGTGCAGCAGAAACCTTTAGGCTCAACACCCCTCTCTGCTGTAGTTATGTTCTACAGACTACAATAAACACCATCTCCCATCATGCATTTCACCTGACCTGACCTGACTTTTGTTCTTCAGTGAAGTTTTTTTTTGTCACAGTGGAAACTTGTTTGTTTATGACACAGTGAATGTTCACGGGCTGCTGTTCCCACGGCAAGCGCGCGCGCGTGTGAGAGAGAAGATCAAAGTGAGTTTAAACATCAGGAGGTAAACACTGAACACCTGTCGAACAGGTGAACAGACAGTCAGGACTCACGGGACCCAGCAGAGGTCGCTGTCGGCGCAGAGATGTTCTCTGACAGGATGATCCGCTCTGAGTGAAATCACCGAACTGAAAACGGAGGACACGGGACCGCACACACACCCAGCAACCTGTTCATGTGCATGTTATTATCAGACACAGACAGACAGGTGTTTAGTCCTCCGCTGAGCAGCCGCAGCTGAACCGGAGTTTCACACCTGACGGACTCACCGGGACCAGCGGAGAGTTTCCCGGAGCGTGTTGAGGACTGAGATCAGACCGGGTTTCGCTCCGGTAAGTTCAGCTCGGAATCTCTCTGAAAATCAAAGCAGGGGACTGAAACCAGTTTAAACAGACAGAGAATCCGGTGAAACCAGTGACTGAAAGCTGCCACGTTTGCACAGGTACACCGGGATTCAGTTTTTAACTGAAGAGGAAATTTAAAGAGCAGAATAAAATAATGAATTAGATTATTTACATATCGGGGAAAAACTAAACTGGATTAAATGTTGAAGTGATGACATTACAGAAGATGAAAGTAATATTCTGGACTAATATTCCCAGCTTCACCTGGACTGAACACAGATGGGTTTATTGATAATAATGATCAGGTATTTTCTGCCTGATCTGTGACGTCAGAGGTACTATATGACTGTTTTAATGAATCAGTGGATCGATTAGTTTTGAAATCATGTCCCAGTAAACTCTTCTGGTTACTGCTGGAAGTCTGTGATATTTCTATCATCACATCATTTATTGATTAATATAGTAAACAAGCTACAGATGAATCAGTAATGTAAATATTTATTAGTTTGCTGTTCTGAAGTCATTTGATTTATTACATCAGTAATAACTTTACCTCATGTTGAACATGTTGTATAATCAATGTCTGACAGTCAATTTTATATTTATAATGAATTTTTGACTTTTAGAAGCAGCGAGCTGCAGACCAGCGAGCGTCAGTAAGTTCATCCAAATTAAAACACAATTTTCTCTAACAGATAAATGTTTCCTCTTCAAGCATCGATGGGTTAAAATGTTAAATATTCATTTTTAAATACAAGTTAAAATAAAAATCTGTTTTCATTCATGCATTATTCAGACACGGTGTATTTAAATCACCTCCATCACTTTACATTTAGGAACAAAATGGAATCATTTCAAGTAACTAATATCTTCCAGTAGGTTCTGCAGGCTTCAGTTCTAACTGATGCAGCAGAGATGTTTTCATTCTGACAAATCAAAATTAAACAGAAACGCAGTAACAATTCTAATAGTCAGATTAAAGGGTTATGATTATTATCATTATTTATTTTTTTGTAATTACTACTCTGCATGGTTTCTTTATAAACTCTCACCTAAGCACAAAATAGTGTCCTGATCCGACACCATGAAGTGATTACTGCCACGCCTACTGATCCACCACATACACATTCTCTCACACAACTATTACAGAGCGCAGTGCTCTTTGAAACTATATAGAAACTGTTGCTGTGTTTAAACAGTCCTCACTTATTTGTGTTTGTACTTCCTAACTGCAAATACGTTCATAAACAAAACGAATTAGAATATCGTGTAAAAGTTAATTTCTTTCCGTAATTTAATTCAAAAAGTTAAACTTTCATATCTTTTTTGTTTTAATCTCGAAGACTACGGCTTAAAACTGAAGGAAATCAAAACTCCAGTATCTCAAAATGTGTTAGAATGACTTGGAGTAAAGAATTTATAACACAGACATGTCGACCTGAGAAGAGCTCTAATCAGCTGATTAACTCAAAACACCTGCAGAGGTTTCCTGAGCCTTTAATCTCTCAGTCTGGGTCTGCTGCTCCTCCTCTGTTTCCACCTTATTATATATATTTTTTTTAGATGCACCTGTGTAAATATATGATAGCAACATCACAATTCTTTTGTTTATGTACATGTTTTTATTTCACACTTGCTTTGGCAGTATGAACATCTCCCATGCCAGTAAAGCGCCACTTAACTGAACTGAATCAAAACTAATCTGGAAGCAGAACTCGGTGATTGTGGAACATCAGCAGCTGCAGAGAGCTTGTGATTGATTTCACATATCTAACAGTGTTTGGACTTGTTGGCAGCAGCTACAGAAAAACAGACGAACATGACAGAGCAGGTAAAACGTTGAAATTAAAGAGTCATCAGGACGACACTGAAAAGTGTCACTTTTTCAAAGTCAGATTTAATGTTTCTGCTACAAAGATCCTGTTTCTCTGCTGGAGCCAATCAGCTGCCTTCTCTAACGTGATGTCACTGACTGGCAACCTCTGATTGATGGATTGATGTCTCCTCAGGTTTCCACAGCAGGATGAAGATTCTACCCTGAACGTCGCCTCAGTATGACATCATCAGGGCCTGTCTCCTCCTCCCTCCCCCTTCACCATCATCATCGTGATGTCTGGTTCTGGATTGGAGGAACGCCTCGTCAGTCCTCACTGTGGCCCCGCCTCCTGCTGTCTCTCTGGTTCTGGTTTGGTGGACAGGTGGCCCGGGTGGGCGCCTCCCACCAGCACTTCCACCCCCACTCCATAAAGATACCTGGTGACATCACTCTGGGGGGGCTGTTCCCCGTCCATTCCCGGGGCCCCCACGGTCTGCCCTGTGGAGAGCTGAAGAAGGAGAAGGGGATCCACCGTATGGAGGCCATGTTGTACGCTCTGGACCAGATCAACAGCGACCCCGAGCTGCTGCCCAACATCACGCTGGGGGCCCGCATCCTCGACACCTGCTCCAGAGACACCTACGCCCTGGAGCAGTCCCTCACCTTCGTCCAGGCGCTGATCCAGAAAGACACGTCTGACATCCGCTGCTCCAACGGGGAGCCGCCAATCATCCGCAAGCCAGAGAGGGTGGTGGGAGTGATCGGAGCGTCGGCCAGCTCGGTGTCCATCATGGTGGCCAACATCCTGAGACTGTTTGAGGTAAATAATGTACAGGAAACATACAGGCGATACGCCCATTAATATACGGGAAACATTCAGGCGATACGCCCGTTAATATACGGGAAACATACAGGCGATACGCCCGTTAATGTACGGGAAACATTCAGGCGATACGCCCGTTAATATACGGGAAACATTCAGGCGATACGCCCGTTAATATACGGGAAACATACAGGCGATACGCCCGTTAATATACGGGAAACATTCAGGCGATACGCCCGTTAATATACGGGAAACATTCAGGCGATACGCCCGTTAATATACGGGAAACATTCATGCGATACGCCCGTTAATATACGGGAAACATTCAGGCGATACGCCCGTTAATATACGGGAGACATTCATGTGATACGCCCGTTAATATACGGGAAACATTCAGGCGATATGCCCGTCAATATACGGGAAACATATACGGGAAACATTCAGGCGATACGCCCGTTAATATACGGGAAACATTCAGGCGATACGCCCGTTAATATACGGGAAACATACAGGCGATACGCCCGTTAATATACGGGAAACATTCAGGCGATACGCCCGTTAATATACGGGAAACATTCAGGCGATACGCCCGTTAATATACGGGAAACATTCAGGCGATATGCCCGTCAATATACGGGAAACATTCAGGCGATACGCCCGTTAATATACGGGAAACATTCAGGCGATACGCCCGTCAATATACGGGAAACATATACGGGAAAAATTCAGGCGATACGCCCGTCAATATACGGGAAACATATACGGGAAACATTCAGGCGATACGCCCGTTAATATACGGGAAACATTCAGGCGATACGCCCGTTAATATACGGGAAACATTCAGGCGATACGCCCGTCAATATACGGGAAACATATACGGGAAACATTCAGGCGATACGCCCGTTAATATACGGGAAACATTCAGGCGATACGCCCGTTAATATACGGGAAACATACAGGCGATACGCTCGTTAATATACGGGAAACATACAGGCGATACGCCCGTTAATATACGGGAAACATACAGGCGATACGCCCGTTAATATACTGGAAACATTCAGGCGATACGCTCGTTAATATACGGGAAACATACAGGCGATACGCCCGTTAATATACGGGAAACATACAGGCGATACGCCCGTTAATATACTGGAAACATTCAGGCGATACGCTCGTTAATATACTGGAAACATTCAGGCGATACGCTCGTTAATATACGGGAAACATACAGGCGATACGCCCGTTAATATACGGGAAACATACAGGCGATACGCCCGTTAATATACGGGAAACATTCAGGCGATACGCCCGTTAATATACGGGAAACATTCAGGCGATACGCCCGTTAATATACGGGAAACATACAGGCGATACGCCCGTTAATATACGGGAAACATTCAGGCGATACGCCCGTTAATATACGAGAAACATTCAGGCGATACGCCCGTTAATATACGGGAAACATTCAGGCGATACGCCCGTTAATATACTGGAAACATTCAGGCGATACGCCCGTTAATATACGGGAAACATACAGGCGATACGCCCGTTAATATACGGGAAACATACAGGCGATATGCCCGTTAATATACGGGAAACATACAGGCGATACGCCCGTTAATATACGGGAAACATTCAACATTCAAGCGATACGCCCGTTAATATACGGGAGACATTCATGCGATACGCCTGTTAATATCAACAAGGAACCGCCGGGTCTGAAAAGTGAACCCTAAAACCTGCATTCTCTCTGACAGCCAGCAGGGGGCGACTCCACGATACGAGTAATGACCTGTTAATCAGCTTGTAGCCCGGCCCCAAGGCCTCCCCTGCTTCCTGGTCTCTGTTCCTCTAAATGGGACCATAATTTACTAAATGAACATCATGCTGTGTTGAAGAAGACTTGAAACTAGCGACTGAGACCAGAAACTCATCAGGAAAGTGTTTACTGAGGGAATAAATCAGCTGACAAGTAGAAACATTTTCTCACAGACTTCTATACAATCACACTTCTTTCTGCAGCCGCTGGAGTCGCCCCCTGCTGGCTGTACACAGTTACAGTTGTTGGTTTGGTTCATGTGGTTAGAAGTGTTTTTTTGTGTCCGCTCAGACTCTCACAACCAGATGATACAGGTGATGATGATATTTACATCATGCGGACTCAGTTATCAGGTGTGTTGTTGTGTATGTGAAGAACAGATTTAGTGTTTTATATCATCTATGTTTATTTTCCATCTTTGAGGTTCAGATGCCAAATTTTTACAGCGTTTTATGAACAGGAACTTGGTCAATGACGTGTATTGATCGGTCTATTGATCTGTGGTGATATAAATATGACCGATTATCCTCTTCAAACATTTTGGACGCAGTAAAGAGCTTTTAACAGCATGAAGTCCCACAAAAGAGCTGCTGCTGCTTTTAAAGCAAAGCTGGGATTTCTTCCAGTTTTCCGCTGTGACCAGATGACTGGAGGAAACTGGAACAAACTGCTCAAACAGAATAATGTGTTGTCTTTTTTTAATTGTTTCAGTTGGGACAGGTAAACACAGAGACAGACGTTCAGATAGACAGGCAGAGAGTGGATGAAGTAGTCTGGTTGGTGGATTAATGTTTTAAACAGTTTGTGTCTGGATGACTGACTGTCTCTAATGAAAGCTTTTAATGACTCTGTGTGTGTGTGCAGAAGATTATTATAACTGAGCTTTGTTAGCATCAAACGGAAACAGCAGAAACACTGGGCCAAACAGATGCACCATGGGAATATTTCACCATTAATTCCTGTGGCAATTTCAGCTGAAAGTAGTGACACTGAGCTCAGGAAGAGTCCTGCGACACTGTGATCAGATCTCAGGATGCTACTTAGGAGAAGCTTGTCAACATACATGTTCTTGTTACTTATAGTCTGTGCTGCAGCTGCCCTGTTGGCATACATACGGGATATACTGCCTCATCATAACATTGCATTAACCTTGACCTCATACTTTGTTGCGCTGAGGATTGTGGGTCACAAAGCCAGAAAAGCATGCTGGCTTGCAGACTGCACAATGCGACCAGATGCAGTTGGACATCCTGGTATTTTTGGCATTCTGCTTTTGATATTGACATGCTAATCCTTTTTCTAAATACTGTTGTGTATGAGTATTGGAACGCACGCCAGGTGTTCCTCAGGTGAAGTGATGCAGAAGACTCGTTATGTGTGTTGCATTTGAGCTAATTGATCCTTCTCTAAGCCACGCCCTCCTGTCGTGAGACTGTTGCTAAGTCCGACAAATTGTCGGACCTGCCAGACTTTTATCTGCTGCACTCCCCTGAGAAATATTGTCTAATTTCTGGAAAGAATGATCTCTGAAAGAAGCAGAAAGTTTTGCAGTTGCATTGTGCATTTAAAGGTTGATTTCAGGCTGTCAAACTGACTCAAACGTGAAAAAATAAAGACAGAAGCTAAAGCCTACCGATCACAGAGTAAAAATGAACCATCTTATTACCTGACGACTGAGACAAAAGACAACGATATTAACGATCAACAGTGTTCCTGTACAGCTGGTCGGCCTCTGTTCATTATTAAAGTCACTAAAAAGCAGAACAGCAGGACTTTATTACGTTACACTCAGTAGGAAGTTAGCCAGCGTTAGCTAACTAACATTACATTAGGAACAATCCACAGCCGCCATTTATCTGGATTTATTTCAGGTTTTGGAAAGAGAATAAATCGTCCTTCTCCTTTCAGCCTCTCTGGGTAGCTGCTGTAACTATTACAAGATGCTGCAGGAACAGCGTTTGACCAGAACTCAGAAACATACAGCAAAAAAAAGCTGGAAAACGAGTCTTTCTGCATCAGAGTCAACAGAGTGCAGCCATGAAAGTGTCAGACCTCAGTTAGAGCGAGGCCTATACTGCGCTGTGATTGGCCAGCTGCGTATTTGGGGCGTGGCTTAGTGAAGGGTCAATTAAGTGACTGCTGTACTCATCTAACACAATGGCAGTGGTCCCTGGAGGGCCCCACACCTGAAGGTGGCGATGGTTCAGTGGATAAGACACATGCCTTTGTTGTGGGAGACCTGAGCCTCTGACATGTATAGCAATTCATCAAGCATCAGGGAAATGTCTAATTACAATAATGACTTATTTTCCCTTTGCAGAAGAGCTCGTCTGTAGTTTTTATTTTGCCATAGAGCTTAATAAGATTTCAGCTTGTGTGGATATTTTCTTTAAGCAGTTCAGTATTTCACTATTAAAGGTTCTGCAGAAAGGAGCCAACCTGAAAACAGCTGATATTCATGTTTGTTTCGCTCCACTGAAGCGTTTCTCTGATGATGATGATGATGATGAACTGTCATAACGAGGTCTGCTTTTAGGAGCTCGTTAATGTGGCGTCCTTCATTAATCTACACACACACACAGAGTTGCGTATGTTAATGTGATTATTATTCTGTTTATTGCAGCTCTGACACACATTCAGCCCGGGCTGTTACACAACACTAATCCTGTGTGTGTGTGTGTGCTCTGTTTAACTTCCCCAGCGTTTCCAGTTTGACCAGTGGTGAGCTCTGAATGAACAGGGTTTAACAGGAAAGCTCTCCTGGTTCAGATGAACTCTAGTGTGCTCGCCCCGTTAGTTGGGTTCGTTGAGGCCGGCTTGCACTAAATACTTGACAGAGACCACCTGAACAGAGGTGGTTCCCATCCGGATCAATTCCATCTGAAAAGCTCATATTTCTTAAAAACAAAAGCAGGATATTTAAAGGAAGTGATGTACTTTCATTGATCATCCTGCTGTTGACATTGTTTTCACCGTTAATAGCAAGTCTCCATTTACTACACCACAAACTCATAATATTACTAATAAAATATTGATTATTGGTCCATGTTTCAGATCCCTCAGGTGAGCTATGCGTCCACGGCTCCGGAGCTCAGCGACAACAACCGCTACGACTTCTTCTCTCGGGTGGTTCCCCCCGACTCGTACCAGGCTCAGGCCATGTTGGACATCGTCAAAGCTATGGGCTGGAACTACGTCTCCACGCTCGCCTCTGAGGGAAACTACGGGGAGAGCGGAGTCGAGGCCTTCATGCAGATCTCCAGAGAGGCTGGTGTGTTCCGCTTCATCCTGTTTTATTCTGTTGATTTTCTTCTCTCTTTTAACAACAGTTCCTCTTCAATGATCACACTCCAACTATACAGGTCATCTGGTTCTCTGTGAGAATATTTAGGAATATCCATCTGATGCGTCCGTGTCAGCAGGTTGTTTTTGGACATAGTTGGTGAATGTTTCATTTTAACCTTCAAATGATGGTCTGCACTCGATGCTGCACCTAATAAACTCTTCTCTGTATTCTCCTTTGTGGATGTAGTTCTGCAGGTCTAATGAAACCTCTGTTAAACTGTTCACTCAGTTTATCTGAGAAACTATTCTGACACACAGCTGGACTATAAATAAATAGAAGAAACAGCCGCAGCTGAAAAGTTGCACCAGTTATATAACTTTAATAAGAATAGTCCTCAATCAAACCAAGAGTTTTAAGAGTTTATCCACCAAAGAACAACATCCAGCTAGTTGCACCGGGGCGAAGTCGTTAGCTGTCTGGATGTAAGCCAGGTTCTTGTGTGTCCACACAATGAACGGATGTTCAGCCTCCTCCAGTCAGTGCCTCCACTCCTCCAGGGCGAGTGTGGTCCCTGGTGAAGCAGCGAGGAACTTCTGGGGCTGCTTAATAGAGGTGGGTTTGGGCCACTTTTCCACCGCCTGGATCTTTTCAGGGTCCTCCAGAAAGGAAACAAAACTGACATGAAACACTCGTGAGACAGTGGTTAGGCTGAAGACCATGGCTAGATACTCAAAATGGCAGAGGGGCTTGTTAAAAGCTGTTTTCCATTAATTTCCCTCCAGCATTCTTCTGATGTATTTTTTAAAATAAAGAGGAAACCTGCGGCCAGATGATTCCAGTGGCCAGGGGATCATGGGCAATGTGGAGGAAATGAGAAAGCGAGCCGTTTACTGGAAACTCCCCCTAAATCATGATTAGCAAAGGAAACACTTAATAATAAAGTATTTCTGATTAAGGTCAGGGAGTTTAATGGCAAGCAGCGGCCTCTGCTAGGGAGGGGCAGATTGCTGGCATGAAGAATAACAAACGACAACCAGCTTCCCAGAGGACACATCTCAGTGAGGATTGTAAGGTATAAAAGCAACATCACGTAAGATTAGGTGCGATTTGGCGCCCCTATCTTTGCAGACTGTAATTCACCGCTGTCGTAACTAAAGACTTGTACACGTGCATTTGATATGATTTCATAAGTTATGATCAAAAGCTAGTAAATCGCCAACTTTGCTAACAGCCAAACAACAAGAGACACACCCAGATTACTAACTATACAACAGGAAGAAGGCCAGCTCGCCATCTGTCCTGCAGACTTTTATTTCACGAAGGTCTCGCCAACGTCCTGCAGCCTCTCGCTCGGTCTCTCTCATTTTCTCTTCTTAGCTTCCTCCATCAGCGTCCTCTTCGTTCTCTTCTCCTCTGCCATTAGCTAATATTATGTCCATAGATGCTACTGAGCCCGGTTATGTTGCCCGCTCGCCCGGCTTTGGCTCGACACCGGCGCCGCTCTCCACCAGCAGCAGTGTAATGTTGCTTGGGTTGCGAGCTAGCCAACAAAGCTAGAAAGCAACCAAAGCAGGAAGACTTGCAGTAACGTTAGCTATGTCCGAGTGTGTTAGCTAGTAAGTTTGCTAACATCAACTCAAGAGGCTAATTGGCTAAATATCTGTCTGATCCAAGCGGGACGTGAAGCCAATGCGGCTGCAGAAAGAAGTGTGATTGTATAGAAGTCTGTGAGAAAATGTTTCTACTTGTCAGCTGATTTATTCCCTCAGTAAACACTTTCCTGATGAGTTTATGGTCTCAGTCGCTAGTTTCAAGTCTTCTTCAACACAGCATGATGTTCATTTAGTAAATTATGGTCCCATTTAGAGGAACAGAGACCAGGAAGCAGGGGAGGCTTTAGGGCGGGGCTACAAGCTGATTGGCGACCTGTCAATCGTCTCGTCAACATGGCGGCGCCCTATCGGCCAAACTCGAGGCTTCAAAACGGCGGTCCACAAACCAACCGGCGACATCACCATGACTACGCCCACTTCTTATATACAGTCCGATACCTGGAGTGGCTATACCAGAGACTCACCATTCACTCTATTACAAGTCAGTGTTCCATAAAAATTATTTTGAAGCTCTTATTTTGTTATCACAACATTATATTGCTTTAACCAGGGGTGTCCTAAAACTTTAGAGCATGTGGGGAGGAATATTTCTGCGTCAAATCGACGCCGTAGCCTCTGTGTAGCCGCCTACCCCACGCCGTCGCCTGACATGCACCTCCTCAAAAATGTAGCTACACGTCGAGTTAACGTGGACCGTAAATTCTGTGATTGGTCGGCTGGGTAGCCTCGCAACGCCTCCGAGCCGACAGGAAGTGCCTGCGCTTTGAAGTAACTTTTACTAGTGGCCAAAACGGCGGCTATAACACGGTGGATCGATATATTTGACCGTCACAACCCGAGTGAAATGACTCGTTTCGCTGTCAGAATGTGATCCATTCGCTCGATAACATTTGAAAAGGCTACACCAGCCGCACGTTTACAATTTTACCCCCGTTCATGTTAGCGGAGCGCTAAACTGGAAGTTAGACTGCTCGGCCGGCAAAAGTCAACAGCGCTGTAGCGCTACTGCCGGCTGGCGTTTGGGGGTGTAATTGCAGTTTGACGGACACACGGAACGCACAAGTATAAATGCACGGCTATCCTACGCAGGAGTATAAATCAAGCTTTAAGGTTGAACTAAATATACTCAAGGTTGTTACCAGACAGAATAAGAAGCAGAGGCTTGGTGTGGAGAGTGGCACAGGTTTAGGAAAAGGTCATGTGTGGCTTAAGTAAGTTAGTTACACAAGTTAAGTTACACAGGAAGCAAACACCCTTCCCTCTCGGGTTAAAGTACAGTGTTTCTTGACCTGAACACCTCCCTGCGTAAACTTTGTCGCTCTTTATACTGCGTCACCTGACACTGACCTGATGCTTGTAACACTGAAAATAAAGGTGACCCAGTGCTTTAAAATCTGATGCCACGGGGTCTTGACCAAGCGACCATATGTGAAGACTTGGGAGTGAGAACAGGTTGAACACATGTTAGGATCTCAGACTCAGAAGCACGTTTTGTTGAGATTTAAAAGAAAAGTCTGGTTCTGAACCTGACCACTGAAATGCAGCACGAATTTTAACCTGCTCTCCGTCTCCATCCACTGCTGCTGTGTGAACACAAGCTCACTAGATGATGGAGATTAACAGCTGATTCTCCAGTCGCTGCCCAACTTAGTTTAGTGTTTTAGTGTGAGGAAGTTCACAGTCTCATCGGATGGAGATGTGATATGAGCGTGACTGTTTCAAAGTAAACCTGTCTGTCTGTCTCTCTTGGTATCTATGTCTCCCTGTCAGGTGGGGTGTGTATTGCTCAGTCGGTGAAGATTCCTCGCGAACCGACGGCCGGAGAGTTTGACAAGATCATCAAACGTCTGATGGAGACGAGTAACGCCAGAGGAGTGATCATCTTCGCCAATGAGGACGACATCAAGTAAAAGCACAAACAACACCTGGGGCGTGTAGTACGAAGCAGGATGGGAGGTTAGCGAGGCAACTTTAGGGTTTAAGTCCAGCGACGTTTACTTCTGACCCGGGTACATCACCAGGGTGCGGTTATGTTGGAGATAAGTCGTAGATCCTGGAGACTGTTTTATACTTTTATGTTTGCTGTGGGTGATGCAGAGATGCTTTTCTATACAATATAATTCTCCAGAGACTGATAGCGGTCCTGAAAGTGAGCTGAACGACCACTTATTCAGTGCGGCTTTTAATGCGAAAACACCGACACACAGCCGCTGAAAGAATAAAGGTAGAGACGCACCGGATCTATTGACTGGTGTCAAGTCGACAGAGCCTATTCATTTTCTATGGAGAGCAGGAGATCCCGGCCATGCGGCGCATGATGGATTCATAACCCGCTAGCCAGTGCACTCATTAGTACGCCGCGTCAAGATGCGTGGTCACCGGAGGCGGATCTGTTTCATGCTAAAATAGTCAAACAGGCTATAAGAATACATCTAACACATTTGTTTAATGGAACACCCACTTATAGAGAGATCTCTAATGATTTAACAGAATGGTAAATGTCTAAGATGCTTTTTGTAAAATATGCCGCTCTGCTGCCAGTGGATTTGTCCGTGTTTGCATTTGGTCACACGCTCATTGCTGGATTGGGAAACCCCGGGTTGATTTAGGGAGTTGATAACCAGCTTTGTGTGACCACTAAGCCTGATCACAGTTAGTTAGGATTAAGTATAATATAAGATTAAGATATCCTGGGTATGTTGAACTTGCTTCATGGTACAGGTCCCAGTTCATATAAACCACAACAAACTGACCACAGATTATCTCCTCAGCTTCCCCCACGCTCTGATTCAGTCCGAATCAGGTTTTATTACCCAGACATCTCCGCAGTTTTGTTTTTTTGCTTTTATGGTCACGTGACTCCAGTGTGACTCCTCCCCTCTTTGTCTGGTAGACGTGTGCTTGAGGCGGCGAGGCGCGCTAACCTGACGGGTCACTTCCTGTTTGTGGGGTCGGACAGCTGGGGAGCAAAGAGTTCACCAATCACAGAGCTGGAGGACGTAGCAGAGGGCGCCGTCACCATCCTGCCCAAACGGGCTTCAATATACGGTAAAAATAAAAACGCTAAAATATCTTGGACTGACAGACTGAACCTGACTAAGTGTGTTTATCTGTGTGTTGTACAGGCTTCGATCAGTACTTCATGTCTCGTTCTTTGGAGAACAACCGTCGGAACATCTGGTTCAATGAGTTCTGGGAGGACGACTTCAGGTGTAAACTGACCCGGCCTGGAATCAAACTGGACCCTGACAAGAAGAAATGTACAGGTGCGCCCACACCTTAAGCGGCGGGATCTGTGTATTAGTGACCGCTGTGAGGCACATGTCAATCAAGACAAACCATCCCCGATGTCATGTGACCTTGTGCGTGTCCCTGCAGGTGAGGAGAGGATCGGTCGAGACTCGATCTACGAGCAGGAGGGGAAGGTTCAGTTTGTGATCGATGCAGTTTACGCCGTCGCTTACGCTCTACACAGCATGCACCAGGATCTGTGTCCTGGCAGCGCCGGAGTCTGCAGCAACATGGACCCTGTGGAGGGACGCTTGCTGCTCAACTACATCAGAGCCGTCAACTTCAATGGTAAGGAAACACTAAAAAACAGACGTGGAGTTTGCTGGCAAGCATCTGGTGGCCAGAGTTAGGGCCAGAGGTGGAGTGGTACCAACTAGATATAGTTGGGCTCAGAAGGAGCCTGGAGGATCACACTGCTCAGCCTTCCTGTGAACGCTCCTGTCAGGCTGCTGAAAGGAGACTCTGGCCGATTGTTGAACCCTTAGATTCAGGAGGACTGATGTGGATTCTGTCCGGGTCCTCGATCAGTGGCCTTTCTGTTCACTCTTGAAGGGATACTGGAGGGATCATGGGAGTTTGTTCATTCAGTCTACATGTGTTTTGTGTCTTCTTGGGGCAGATCTGTCTATATTCTCTAAAGTCATGTTGTCTGTGAAGATTCTGTCATCCAGGTCAGAGTTATCCAAAGAAGGTTAAAGTCAAGGGCAACTGGACTTGGAGATACTAGAAGACGTTCCTGGCTGTTGTAACAACATTCATTATGGTCGTTAGGACTACCCGAGGCCAAGACTGAACTACCATCGTTGACATCTTCAGCTGAGGCCAATAGGTTCGTTTGTTGAGTTTACAGCAACCAGGAACACTAACGAACCAGCGGTATCGACGATCCTGGCAAACGACCCCACTGAGGTTAAATAGCTGAGTTTCCCTGCCAGTCAGTCAGAACTGAAGAAGTCCTTTGGCTGAGGGACGAAACGTCTTCCAGTATCTTCAACCAAGTCCAGTTGCCCTTGACCTCAACCTTCGTTGGATATCAAGTCATGTTCTTAGTTGGTGTTGGACTCCAGCACGTTGTTCGTGAATGTGACCTCCAGCAAGTATTACGGTTTACAGCTGAGTTCAAAGCAGCAGGATGACAGTCAGCTTTTCCCAGTCTAATGTCAAGGTCCTCTCATGGAAAACAGTGGATTGTACCCCAAGGATGGTTAAAATGGATAAGACGTGTTGCTTTGGTGTAGGAGATCCGGGTTTGACTCCCCACTGCAGCACATTCCTGAACAAGACACTTAATCACTAGTTGCTCCAGAGGCGGCAGTTGTAAGTCGCTTTGGATAAAAGCCTCAGCTAAATGAATAAATGTAAAGTCATGTAATTGAAGTGACAAATTAACAACTCCCTGGGAACACTGAGTGTGAGAGCTAACAGGAGCTACTCACCATAGCTCTCAGCAGAGCCGGTGTTCATATGATTTATGCTTCCTTATCGAATAATGCTACCTTAATTCAAATTGCTAATGTCTAACCCTAACCATTAGACATGCCAAGTAGCACATCTCGATAGCGGTAGCATATATCAACAGAACACCGGCTCTGAGCTCCGGTACACTGCGGTCAGCTGATGTTTTGTTCTATGGTGCTGGACCCGACTCTCTGTTTCTCTTTTTTATAGTCATATATCGGTTGTATTAAATACCAAAGCAGATATATCTGCAAGAAGCTTATATCAGCTGATAATATCTGGAAAACAATAAATCGGTGGGGCTCTAGTCGTTAATCCACCTGGCTGTCAGTCCTACGAGTCCCATGACTCCAGGTGTCCATCAATACTCTTTCTTCTCTGTTCAACATGTGGACACCTGTCTTCAGCAGAGAGTCACCTGTCCTTCAGATGGAGGTGGACTAATGGGTGTCGACCTGAGGAGTCACTGATCTGATGACTGCGCGTCTTCAGACATGATGTTCAGACGGTTTAAACTCCCGACAGACAGGAAATGTTCAAGACGATGGTTTCAAAGAGATTTTCAGAGCAGCACAACAAACTGCAGCAGCTTCATCCTGTTAGACATCAAATCCATATTTTATAAAGACGAGAAGCTACAGCAGCTGGAAGACTGGGAGGATTTAATCTGTAACAGCCAGGGCTGCACGCCATGAAACCCGACTGTCTGCCTGACTGTCTGTCTGACCACCCGTCTCTCTCTCTACACGAATCCTCTCTGTCATCTGAATATTTAATCAGTTCAGTTAAAGTGTGTTCTTCTTCAGGATGTCGGTGTATTTTTGGAGTTTGGCCTTTAATGAACTCCATGTTGGGTTCAAAGAGATCAGACAGAAACCTGACATCAGTACTGAGGCTGACACCTGCAGCCTGACACCTTGTGGTCAGGTGACGCGTTGTGGTCAGGTGACGCCTGAGGAGGCAGCTCGTTGGTTTGAGTGTCTCAGTCAGATCATCTAAAAGCTTCTTATTCTGCTAACTTCATGAATCAGTTGTCGATGTTCTGCTCTGAGCAGAATCTTTTTCAGAAGCATTTTCTTCTTTATTCCGAGACACTGAGAGATAATAACTTAAAAATAAGTTAATGCACTTTACATGTTTCCTCCGAGGACTCGCTGTTTTACTGTGTGTGTGTGTGTGTTAATAATTTAACTGAGCAGCTGCTGAAAACGCTCTGCAGGAAGAAGGTAATGTGTTTCCATCCACCTGCTTTTATTAGGATTTTAAATTTCTGCACAAAGAAAACAAATAAAAACAGAAAAACCAAACAGTTTTTCTGACATATAGAATATGTCTCACTGATGAACAGAAGGTGGGATAAACTTATAGTCTAAACTGAATCATTTGAACTTCAGATTGTCCTCAGCTGTGTTTCATGTTGATAAAATGTTAAATAACTTGTCTCCTGCTTGAGAGAACATTATGAAACACTTTGTTCTTGTTCAGTCTCTGTGTTTGGATCTCCTGTGTCTGTGTGTGAACCGATGTTTCAGCTGCTGTGATGTAAAGTGTCCGACTGGTCGGATGATGTTTCAGGCAGTTTGAACTGTGACCTGTTAAGTAACGCCTGGTGCACACTAAAGCATTTTCAAATCTTAACCTACGTTAAAAACTTGGGACACCACAGACACAATGTCAGATTTACGCACACACACCAGACGGGGATGCGTTCCTCAAAAACTACGGTAGCAACTTCCTTGGTTGGAACTACACAGTTGCGACGCAACTATTTCCCAAAACCCTCGTTCGAACTACGGAGGTAACTAAGTTGGCAACTTACACGGTACGAACCTTCGTTAGGCAACGCAGGTGTTCCCCCGAAACCATAGTTCGCGTCCACTATCGTTAAGTTGCACAGTTCGAACTACAGCTCCGGACCTGTGGTTAGAAGCTCAGTTGATGTTGACTACGTCACAGATAGCAGAAAACGCAGTGTGAGGAGGTGGATGTAATGTGAGTAACCAGAGAATGTCAGATAATCCTGCTCGACAAACATATTTCAGGTGAAGTGGTTTTTAAATGTAGTTGTAAACGTTATTTTACATGTAGTTTTAAAAGTTCTTTTAAAGGTATTTGTTGGGACATAGAGAGGGTTGCATTAAGTCAGTACTTAGTAACTTAGTGTAGACCATCTACAAACAACAGGTGTTTTCTCACAGATTTACCCATCTGTTCACAATAACTTAATTTAATATTAATCACCCAGGACAAAGGTTAAAAGACAAAACGGACAATGAAAAGACAAGACTTTTAATATTACCTTCATTTTTGCATTTCTGGGCATCTGAAGAAGATGGCTGTTCTGTAGTCTTCTTTACAAACATAAATATAAGAAGGGACAGCGTAAAATCCATGAAAGTACTGTAATGAATAAATCCCTGAGAGCTTTTGTTGCCATTATAACAAAGAACTCATGGGATTCAAACCCATGTCTGTCTCCGTAGGTAACATTCTTAAGCTAAGCCACTTATCACCCTGAGCTATTCTCAAGACCTTGAAGTTGTTTGTGGCCAAGGGATTCATAACAGTGTTAAAGTGTGGAAATGAAGATACTTGCAGATTAAACCTATTTTACTGAATCTTTTGTAATCGCTAATAGTTCTTAATTTTTCTTCTAAAATGTTGCTATTTCTATAAAAACAGTCTTATAGCCTATATTTAGGCTAAACAAAATGATTAGGTTATATATTATTTATATTGTTGATTTTCTTGTTATTGCCATATTATGCAACTATAATATGAAATGCCTAAATAATAGACATATTTAGGCAGAATATGAAAGTCAGACGAAAAAAAAGTGACCAATGTGTCCCTGAGCAAGACACTTAACCCCTACTTGCTCCAGAGACATGCGACCTCTGACATATAGCAATTGTAAGTCGCTTTGGATAAAGGTGTCAGCTAAATGAATAAATGTAAATCGGACAAGAGTTCAGACAGACGTGCTTTAAAGGCAGTGAGGGGGATGAGGGTCTCTAGCTTGAGGGTTTTTTGTAACTCATTCCAGTTGTTGGCAGCGGAGAACTGGAAGGAGTGGCCGCCAAAATTGGTGTGGGCTTTTGGGGTGACCAGAGAGATGTACCTGCTGCGGGTGGGTAATGATATAGACACCAGTGAGCGTAGGTATAGGGGGGCTTTGCCTAGCACTTGTAAATAAGTTGGTACCAGTGAGTTAGGCGTCGAGTGTGTAATGACGGCCAGCCAAATAATGCGTAGAGGTCGCAGTGTTGGGTATTAAATGGGGCCCCAGTAACAAAATGGATGGCACTGTGGTAGATCACATCCAGTTTTTTCAGAAGAGAGTTTGAGGCAAATCTGTAGATGACATCACTGAAATCTAGCATGGGTAGAACAGTCATTCTTACCAAGGCAAGTTTGGCAGCATGAGTGAAGGAGGCCCTGTTGCGCAATAGGAAACTGATTCTGGAATTAATTTTAGATTGAAGGTGGTTTATGTGGGGTTGGAAAGAGAGGGAACTGTCTGTATTTGTAAGTGTCCACATATTCTATTTCTGACCCATCTAGCATTGTGATGCTAGTCAGACGAGCCGGTGTGGGAAATGATCGCTTGAAAAGCATGCACTTAGTTTTACCAGAGTTTAGTAATAGATGGAGATTTCAGAAGGAGTACTGAATGGAATTAAAGCTCTCCTGGAGGTTTGATAGCACAGTGTCCAATGAATACTGGATGTATACAGGATGGTGTCGTTCGCATAGAGGTGGTTCTGAGATCTGAGAGTCACCAACAGCAAGCACCACATCACTGATATACAGAGAGAATAGAGTCGGCCCAAGAATCGAACCCTGCGGCACCCCCATACAGACAGCCATAGGTCCAGACAGCAGTCCATCCGATTTAACACACTGGACCCTATCAGAGAAGTAGTTATTGAACCAGGCGAGGCAGTCATCTGAGAAACCAAGGCTATTGAGTTTACTGATCAGAATGTGATGGTTGACAGAGCAGATACACAACACGCTGGGGACGCTTCCCGCTCAGCTCTGGGCCGACTACATGTTGAATTGGTGATCATTAGCATCTGTTTGGTATAATTAATTAATCAAACAGCTGACGATATACGTACAAATTCCCTGATTTTGTGCAAGTGCACCTGGAAGAACTGATGCTATTTTAAAAGCAAAGGGTGGTCACACCAAATATTACATGAGAGGCTAGAGAACAACTTCTTCTTTGAATCCTTATGTCAAACCCACTATACTACTAACACTGTCTGTTTTTACTTTTTACTGTTTTAACATACAAGGAACAATTGACTCTTCTACCCCAATACCATGTGAAAGGCATTTTGCTGAGTTTGAAAACTAGCTGTCAGAAGTGGGATTCGAACCCACGCCTCCAGAGGAGACTGCAACCTGAACGCAGTGCCTCTGACATATATAGCAATTGTAAGTCACTTTGCATAAAAGCGCCAGCTAAAAGAATAAATGTAAGACATAGAGCAACAGGCATTAAATGCTGACATCCAGCTAAAAATATAAGGGTAAACAAAAGCAAGTCTTTACAAATGGATCTTGAGCAGCTTTTTAAAAGGTGTCCACAGATCTTAAGTACAGTAGGAGAGAGTTCAAAAGTTTAAGAGGTACAACCTCAAAAGTCTCCATCGTACCTTCATCAGAGGACCTCAGATTCCTGCTGGGACTATATGGCCCTAGTAGCTCTTTAATGTAGGCAGCTGCCTGACCATGCAAGGCTAAATGTGATCTCAAGAATGTTGGACTGGATCAGGATTTGATGGGAAGCATTTTGGATCACTTTGAAGCAGCTCAGGGAAGTCTTTCTATGGCAGGTGAAAAGGGAATTATAGCAATCAAGACAGGAGCATATATACACAATCATCTCCCTCTCAGCTAAGGTTGGCAATGTTCCCCAGCTGGTAGAAACAGGAGCTAACCAAACTATTCACACGCTGGTCAAGACTCAAAGCCTGGCCCATGGAAAGACCTAGCTTACAGAGGGTAGGTTTAACAGAAGAGGATAAAGAGCCAAGACTTTTCACCCTTTCAGGACGCCATCTATAGGGCAGAAATAAGAACTTCTATTTTTAACATCATGCTGTGTTGAAGAAGACTTGAAACTAGCGACTAGAAGAGACGCAAGACAGCGTGCTGAACTCACATGTTGTCTTAAGTGCTGCCCTAGAAGGCTGTTGTTACTAATGTAAATGGCGCTGCCTTCACTTGAAAGTAATGCCTTCTGAGGCAGCTGTCTGTTACGGTATCGAGGCAGCGAGGCAGCTGCCTTCCGGTTCGAACACAGCCCGTGTGTGACCTGTCTGTCTCTGTTTGTTTCCTACAGGAAGTGCAGGTACGAGTGTTATGTTCAATGAAAACGGAGACGCTCCCGGCCGCTACGATATCTTCCAGTTCCAGATGACCAATCACAGCAATCCTGGTTACCATGTCATCGGCCAGTGGACCAATAACCTGAGACTCAACGTAAGAAGCTGATTGGATCAAATAGAAAGGTGAAACATAAAACAACATGTGCTGGTTTTTAGATTTCTCTTACTCTCTGTCTCTTTACCTGTCCCTCAGTTGGAGGAGATGCAGTGGTCTGGCGGAGATAAATCCGTCCCAGACTCCATCTGTAGTTTTCCCTGTAAACCAGGAGAGAGGAAGAAGATGGTCAAAGGAGTTCCCTGCTGCTGGCACTGTGAGGTAAAACCCTCCTCCATTTTTCTTTTCTTATCTTTATTCAAGAGCGTGGTCTTTCAGTTTGAGAGCATGACGTTCATTTCACGTTCAGATTTTTAATGCTGTCCCTGAAACCTTTCCCTTGCACACAAACAGACCCTTCCTGCTCTTAGATTTGCTTTTCTTCTACTCAAACTGTGTGCTTCCTGCTTGGACTCAGATATGTTGTTGCTTGCACAGGTTTCTTCTTTTTGGATTGTTTGTGTAATAACGCTGTCAGAATCTCTCAACCAATAGAATGCCAGGTGAAGTGTTGAACAATGAAATGATCCCTGCTCGTTGTCGGTGCATCGCTTTACTTCTCATAGTGTGCCATGCTGGGTCCATCCACTCCTGCTCTCCACAGCTTTATTATATACTTCCTTTGCTTTCCTTACAGAGTTTGAAACACCGGGACATTTATTACATACACCAGTGCCGGTACTTTTTACTACAATAGCTAAACACAGTATAACAGTAGCCGTATAGCACACCGGACTCACATCAAGGTGGTGAAGGAGAAGACAACTCCACCTTCATGACTTTGGAATGAAGGCAACTCGGCAGTCCGCTAGCTTGTTGTTGTCGCTACAGAACGCCGCTCTGTTTTCACAGAAACGTGCATGCAGACTAAAATTCAAGCATGGTGTGTGGGGAGGTGCAGTGACTTAAACCAGCGGTGAGTAAGAAATAATATAAATAATACATGTCATTTGTTAAGCTATGAGTAGAGGAAAAGTGTGATTACTGCTAGGCTAATGTATGCAGTGTAAAATACCATAGGCTTAAGCTAATAATGGTGACACACCTTAAAAGTTACCTTATTATTAATACAGATTTTATACTTTTGTGAAAGTTTGTTTAACTGTGTTTTATGTGTGCTAGTGGAGTCAATTTAAAGTTCACTTTACCAGTTACAGTTATTAATATGTTGTTCTTTTTCCTTCATACAGAAATGAAAGAGCAGATAGCTCCTTTCTTGTGGTCATCACTTGCATCTTTGTCAGAGGAGGACAAAATGAAGAATATTATATATAATAAAAAAACAAAGCAAAGAAATAAATAACAGTCATTAAGAAATAAAGAACAGTTTAATGTAAACAGAATGAAAACATTTTATATTCCACCCCATGTGCCTGGTTGTTTATGTGTGAATACATATCTCGTTGTTGCTGTGTAATTATAGCATATGGGATAACCTTTAGAATATTACTGTGTAACTACAGCGTACCAAGTGGAGAACATTCAAGAACTGTCTGCATACATTATTCATCCTGAGTAATTAAAAGAATGAAAAGAAATACTAGGTTCTGCTCTACCTCATTTAACATTCAACATTAGCTATGTTTGATCCAACGTCATATATGTGTGATAATATTACTGTTTCACAAGAGAAAGGCAAGTTTGTTTTCTACTCCAGCCTTCCCCTTGGTAGCTGCTGTAGTGCGGGATGAACAAAGAATAGACCCTTTTCTTATTCCGAGACATGCATAATAAATCTATGGAGGGTGGCCCAAGGCACACCTGTGAATAAAAGGTTGTCACAACTGCCACGACCATGATAAAAGTATATTATTTGTATGTTATTAAGTTCTGGGAGTAAATCACAACTGAGAAAAACACAATCATTACTTAACAGGTGCCTGCAGGATTTCGTTGTGTATTGTCAACTGTTCAGCTCTGTGTACCAGCACTGAACCCCAAAAATTCCCAGTATTTTCAATTTCAGTCATACTTAAAAACAAAACTGCAAACTGAAATGAGAGCATGTAAGTTGCACACATAGTAGAATCTGTGGGTTCTGTGCTGTTGACCCAAAATGGCCGCAGCGCTTGTCAAAAAATGCTCTTGCGTTTTGTTTCTTTGTTTCTGTAGTCTTTGGCCAAAGTCACAGACTTCCTTTTTTCCTTCCTTTTTTTTATTTTAATAGTGCTTTTACTTCTTTCAAAAAGAATTCACAGTGTCAAGTCTTTAACATTATGGGAATACTGGTATTTTAGCGTTTGGGGATGGGGGAAGTACCAAGAGCAAAAGTAAGCAGCCAACACATCAAGAAAACAAAAGTAAATAAAATGAGCTAATACATTTTAGAAACACATATATGTCTGTGAAGATTTTCAGTCATGTATCCAACGAAGGTTAAAGTCAAGGGCAACTGGACTTGGTTGAAGATACTAGAAGACGTTTTGTCCCTTATCCAAGAGACTTCTTCAGTTCTTACTGACTGGTGGGGAAACTAAGCTTCTCGGCTGGTCCTAACGGCCATAATGACTCTCGTTACAACAGCCAGGAGCACTAACGAACCAGCGGTATCGAACGACCCCACTGAGGTTAATTAGCTGCCCTTGACTTTAATCTTCTTTGGAAAAAAATATATGCTTCTCTTAATGATGTGTCAGAAAGGTTTCACATATTGTAAAAATGCTAAACACATCCCCACGTACAGGTATCATGTATAATTACATTTAAATCGGTTGCATTACACATATTTGCACTGTTACTGATAAATCCTTAAATTACAGCATTACTGGATTATTGAGATACACATTTAGATACTCATTCCATTATATCCTCGTTGTATATGTGTGTTATTAAACTGGAAGTATCATCATACCAGTATTATCATGGCTGTATTCTTATATAATAATGTATAGAAATATGTCTTTATTAATTCAATTCAAATTAAATAATAGCACCGTTAAATAAAAAAACTCAGGGCAGGCAGTGACTTTCGCCTGCAGCACCCTGATGGGAGGCTTGTGTGCTCTACAGCTAGGGGAGAGCCGGGACGATTGAATCACTTTTTATGTGAATGTAATTTTAAGAGATAATGTCACAGACAGAAATTTTTGTTTCTGTGATCAACAAATCACATGTGTGTTCTATCAATACCCGGAGCTGTTTTGGACAAATGTGTAAGGACTTAAGTGTAATTTAAATTGGAATTGAAGCTGCGCATCGTTTCAAGATGGGACAGAAGAATGTTCTTTATCTTAAATATATAAAATTTAAATTTTTAGAACATCCTTAAATGTAGATAATCCTTAAATTCCTGCTTTGAATTCAGTTCATTTACAGTTAAATATATTTTATTATAAATTGCCCTTAAGTGTGAGTTGAGGATTGAAAACAGCTTATTCTGTATAAGTGGGACATGTCCACCCAATTTTTCGCAGTTCTGGTAAGTACATGCTGATGAAATTCTGTATCAGACTTGTATGGGCTTGGCGAAACTCGCTGTGTCACTTTCATCCCACGTTTCATTCGTCATGGCTCTTCCCTACTATTATACAGTATGAAGCTGCTAGAGTAAAAGGGTATGGGCACTGGTTTATGTAATAAATGTCCTTTTATTCCAAATGCTGTAAAGAAAACCAAGGAACTACATAACAAAGATGTGGATGAATCTGAGTAACCGAGGGATTAAAGCGAATGTGCCCCCAACGAGGCAGGGATCATTTTGTTAGCCAACACTACACTTGGCATTTACCTGGGGTGATGGATTGCTCAGTGGACAAGACACATGCCTTTGGTTTGATTCCCAATGTTACACATCCACTGTGTCCCTGAGAAGGCACTTAACCACTAGTTGCCCCAGAAGCGTGCAAGGCTTCTGGCGTAAATAGCAATTGAAAGACTCTTTTGATAAAAGCGTCAGCTAAATGCAAATGTAAAGGGCATTCTATTGGTTGAGGGATATTGACAGGTTTTTTGCACAAAATATCCAAGAGCAGAGCAGAAATCTGAGAGCAGATGTTTCACGTGTGCTGAAGCTGCCTGATTGCGAGTACACAGTTTGAGCAGAGCAAATTTAAGCACAAGCACTCTTTTTGAGTTTGAGGGCAGGGTTTTGAGGGACAGAATTACAAAATATAAACATGAAATCAATAAGTCATGCTCTCAAATTGAAAGATCATGCTCTTAAATGAAGACAGGAAAACGATGCCATGTTAGTTTAAAAGGATTAGATGTGTCACAGGATCCAGTTTTCTGGTCTTTGTTAGACAGCTGACAGTAGGGCGATGATGGGAAACCAGTGGACAAAGGTCCGTGGCTAGAACCACGGACATTGAGGTCCAAACCCTGTACAAACAAGGAACTAAGCAATGTACTGCTGTGGACAATGTCAGCAGCAAAACGTATTTTAGCCTCCTGTAAGGAGGCCCACCAAAATTCAATATGAATTCAAGTGTATATGTTTACAATATTTTCTGCACTTTTCCTCGTCAGACAGCCATTTCCTTTGGAATTACATCTTCTCAACCATAAGGCAAGAGAAGGCCAGGCCAGTTTATTTGAAATTACATTTCAGCAACAAGGCAATTCAAAGTGCTTTACATAAAACACAATAGATACATTTAGATACAATTTTTAAAAAGAGTTAAATATAAAAAAATTACAGGTTGATTTACCCGGTAAACCTATTTGGTCTCCCATCATTCTAATAGGTTGCGAATAATCAGGCTTTTCATCTTCCATTGTTGTTGATTTCCCATCTGTCACAACAGTCAAACCTCGTACGATATTTATTTACTATCTTGGTAAAAGCTGCCAAAACAGCGGAGAAAACTTAATTCTACGCATAAGCGCAACTTGGCCGTGCAGTATCATACACCACCAGAGATCAACTGCCAGTAATACACTGAATATGGATATATACCTCAAATAGTCCCACTTCAAGAAAACCTAAACTTTAACTTCAGATACACTTTCAAATCAGATAAACTTTAAAATTAAAGGTACTAAACGCTAAAATGTTCAAACTAGATATTTAAATGAAAACTATGAATAATACAAACGTTCATCTGGAAGTTTAACAGGAAGCAGTTCAAAGTTATACATGAAGGTAAAAGCAGGAGGTCATCTGCATAGAGAGATAATGAGTGACAACATCACATTTAACATCAGACCATTGATTGAACAATTACTGAAGAAAGTACAGAACAGCTGTATGTCTCCCTCATCTGTCTGTCTCTGACCTTTCTGCAGCTCTGTGATGGGTATCAGTACCAGTGGGATGAGTTTACCTGCGAGACCTGTCCCTCAGACATGCGCCCTGCTCCCAACCGAACCGCCTGTCGTCCGACTCCGATCATCAAACTGGAGTGGAACTCCCCTTTCGCCCTAGTGCCTGCCTCCCTCGCCATGCTTGGTATCTTAGCAACTAGCTCTGTGGTGGTCACCTTCATCCGCTTCAACGACACGCCCATCGTCAGGGCGTCAGGGAGGGAGCTCAGCTACGTACTGCTTACAGGTAAACACTACGACTGACAGGTTCAGACAACTCGGCACAACACCAGTAAGGCTGGGGCTCTGTCACACATACACGCTACGCTTACACATGCGCACTGACGCCCCAGGGTTAGGGTTACAATTTTTTGACAGCATTAAACGTTGAAATGTATATTGTAATAGGCTGTATATTAACTTATTGGGAGACGTTGAGCACCTCCATATCGCCAAAATAATTTTGCTATCCAATAAATGCTGCGGTTCTAGAAATAAGGTTATAGCCTCGTCTGCTGCAGCTACATTCTACTCCTGAGTATACCAACAGCAATTTGTCCTACAGGAGCTCGTCTAGAAGATCAGCATATACAGGTTGCTCTCCTGCCTAAAATCAGGCTCCACCGAGATTTGAACTCGGATCGTTGGATTCAGAGTCTATAGTGCTAACCATTACACCATGGAACCACTACACTGAGATGGTAGGCAGTTCCTCACATCGCCACGTAGATTATCTATGCAGAGAAAAAAGGCGGGGGAAGCAGTCGGCGGGCAGGGGTCTCCGTAGGGGTGCGATCGTTAACTTTGCTAGGAGTGCGGTGCTGAATATAGAGCCTCCTCTGCTGCAGCTACTCCTGAAAGCAGCGTCGCAAAGGTTGCAGCTCTACTGCTCAAACTGGATGTTTAATTTATGCGCTTATCCAGAGAACTTACTCGTTTTCCTGTCATGTGACAGGGAATTGCTCGGCTGAAAACCTCACTGTCAGAAGTGGGATTCGAACCCCCAGACAAGACTGCTACCTTAACGCAATGCCTTAGACCGCTCGGCCACTGCGTGAAAGCTCAGTTCAGTGGGAACTTTGCTTTAGTACACAATGCCATGGAATATTATGGCTAAACGTCTGGCGCAAAACCATCCAATTGGTTGGCAGTGGCGCCGCCAGGCGGGGCCGGGGCCACGGCCACCCTAATAAAATTGGTGGCAATGTTATATATACTGTATATATATTATGTAACTCCTGGGTTTGAGTTAAAAGGTTCTTAGCAGCACATATGTGTTGTCATATCAGGCTCTGTCACTTTAAGAGGGTAACCTCTGACCCTGAGCTGTGATGGACTGGGATGTTTATAGAGTTGAGAAGAGAAGGGGCCCAAGCACTGAGCCTTGGGGCACCCCTGTGACCTATGACCTTTTGACCTGAGGTAGGTGTATTGGTATACAGTATATACAATATGACATAGTATAAACAGCACTGAAATAGAGAATGGTGAATAAATAAATGATAAGTGGTAACCAGTAAACAGGTGGCTGATTAGAGACAGAGTTACTGGGTTAAAAAGATATGACCCCAACGTGATTTGAACACGTAACCTTCTGATCTGGAGTCAGACGCGCTACCGTTGCGCCATGAGGTCATACAGAGAAGGGCAGGGACTCAGTCGTACGGATGCGTAGAGGGAGGGAGTTCCAAAGGTGAGGCGCACAATAGCTGAAGGCTCTGAACCCCATAGTGGACATGCGGGCAGAAGGAATGGAAAGTAGAGAGGAAGAATAGGATCGGAGAGTTCGGGATGGGGCGTAGGGCTGAAGGAGTTCAGAGAGATAAGGAGGAGCAAAATTATGGAGAGCTTTGAAGGTGAGGAGTAGAATTTTAAAATCAATACAGTATTTGACAGGGAGCCACAACAGTTGTGTTAGAAGTGGAGTAATGTGTTCAGAGACTGGGGTTCTGGTGAGAATACGGGCAGCAAAGTTTGGACATTTTGCTAGGGTGGATTTGGAGCCAACAAGGAGAATTTCAGTTTTATCACTTTTTAGTTGGAGGAAGTTTTGAGTGAACCAGGTTTTAACTTCATCTAAGCAGTCAGTTAGAGAAGACGGAGGGAGCAGAGACGTAGGTTTGGTGGACAAGTAGAGCTGGGTGTCATCGGCATAGCAGTGAAATTGGATATTATATTTCCTGAGAATAGAACCAAGGGGAAGTAGATAAATTATGAAAAGGAGGGGACCCGGGAATGATCCCTGGGGAACACCACTGGTGACAGGTGAGAGTTGTGATCGAACATTTTTAAGTTGTACAAACTGAGTGCGGCCAGACAGGTATGATGTGAACCAGTTCAGTGATGTGTTGATGATACCAATGGAAGCTAGACGGTCCAGGAGGATATTGTGAGAGATTGTATCAAAGGCAGCAGTTGAATCGAGAAGGATCAGTATGGTAAGAAGACCTGAGTCAGCAGCCATTAGTAGGTCATTGGTGACCTTGACTAGGGCTGTTTCTGTGCTGCGGAGAGGCCGAAAACCAGATTGAAACTGTTCATGGAGGTTATTGTTGATGAGATGATTATGGACCTGCGCAGCAACCGTTTTTTCTCAGAATTTTGAGATAAATGGCAGGTTGGAGATTGGTGGAGAGGTAGGTGGATAAAGTGCCCTGTTATGTGAGGTGGGTAACTGTTGATGGATATTGTCCATTTTGGTTTTTGAAAAATGACATAAAATTATCACATTGAGAGATTGAATAAAGATGGGGTGGAAGATTATTCGGGGGGCGTGAAATTGTATTCATTGTGGAAAACAGGGCCCTAGCATTCCCTTTGTCAGATGATATCAGATGAGTGTAGTATTTGGGTTTTGCTGCAGAGAGGGAATCTATGTAGTGGAGCATGTGGTTGTCATAAATGTCCTTGTGTATAACTAGTTTGCATTTTTTTTATAATACGTTTGTCACACTGCTACACCCTTTCATGTATTGTACTGTGTGTGAGAACTATACGAGGCTGCGGATAGCAACAAGTTAGCACCATCGCTAACAGCAAGCTAACGTCAAGCGGACACTGCTGGACGATGCCGTGAAACTGGGCTTAACATTATTTGGAAGGGTAAACATCTCTGCCCAGCAGGCGCTCCATTGAGCGGCAAACAGGTGGAAGAAAACAGCGACGTGCTCACTGACAGTCGGATCGTAACGTTAATTAAACTCTGTGGAAAATGTTAAACAGCACTGCGGGGCCGCAACGAGTCGGCGGACTCCCTGAATAAGTTCAGAGTCATCCAGAAGTTTGCCCAGAGGAAAAAACGCCGTGCGGCCTTTCTCCTCACGTGAGCCCTCAGCTGTGGTGGGTGAAATCATCTTTTATCATCCTGACTGTGCTGCTGCTCCGTGCGTGGGCCAAATTATTGTGCTGAATCGATTGATACTAGGCTATGGATTGCGGTTGTTGTTGTGATATAAGCGCGTTCATGCTGCATTATCATTTGAGATTATTACACCAATATGCCGGCTCACTGCGCTGTATTAAAGGTACGGAGCCGGGAAGGAGATGTATATCGGCGGACATTCTTTCCATTTTGATTGCAGGATGTCTTTGTGAAGGTGACTACAGAAAGGGTTTGGATCCCTAAAAAAATGTCTGTGCGCGTCGTCGTGGACTTCAGTGGTGTTGAGCTCACTGCTGTTTGCTTATGGCCCTGTAGGCTCATTTGTTCTGAGCGCATGTGTGTCGGCTTAAATATTGCATTCTTAATTTAGGTTTGTGACAGTGGTACTGTAACTTGCGATCTCTCTCTCTCTCGGTGGAGCCATGCTGTTTGTTGACATGTTAAAAACACAGTAGCAAGAGAGCGTATTGTAGTTTTACTGGCATCTATGTTTTGAAACCATTTTTATAAAATATTCTTCTTTATAAATAATTGCACAACTCTGTACAGACACATATTGTATATTTCAATGAAATTATTATATAGTCTAATATGAAACAGAAACATCTATGCTCCGTGATGTTTGTAATCTTGAGTAGGCTTGTTCCCATTAAATGTTTTGTTCTTTGCTTTGCAGTCAATGCACTCGTACAAAAGCTGTAGTTTTTTAGTTTTTTTTAAGGAAAAGCTCAACTAGTGTATTTGAAGAACAATTGCCTAACACATACAGATACATAACACATTATGGAACTCAAATTTGTTAACTGAACTGGTTTTAGTTTATGGACATTAGGCAATCGGTAACATTAACTGTAAAAAAGAAACCAAAGTATGTCAGTCTGTGATTCCTTAACTCATATTTTAATGTAGTTTTCAACTAGTCTATATACTGTATAATAGAATTCCCGAAATTCAGTTTTGGCTTTTTGGTTTTAGTGTGCCACCCGAGGTTTTTCAGTGGCCCCATCTGGCCACCCCTAGGAAAACAAAGTCTTGAAATGAGAACAACATGATCAGACAAAGTCTGTGAACGTCCAGAATACGGTTTTCGAGCACAGTTGAGTCGCATTCGGTCTAAAACAAGGTTCCACCGAGATTTGAACTCGGATCGCTGGATTCAAAGTCCAAAGTGTTAACCATTGCACCATGGAACCACTGCATGTCAAAGGACGGCAGATTCTTACATGATATCGCCACGTGTATTATCTGTGCAAAGAATAGACGCGGGAAAGCGTTCCGGGGAGGTGGTTTCCAAAGCTTTTCGACAGTGATCCGACAAGTGGGAACCCCTGTCTGCCTTGAAAATTTCTCCCTGGGTAAGACCTCGCTGGTGCAGTATAACTACCCTGTGCCTTGTTGCTGTGGTCAGTCTTGCCATGGCGTATGACTTTTGAAAGAAAATTGTCTTCAGCAACCTCACCTTGTAAGCTGAGTTTATAGCAATTTTCCCACAACTGCCTAAAACTTTTGCCCAGTACTGTATGTATTTTAATGCAGAGAGGATGACGTAGAAGGCATGCAACAATACCGGTGACACAGAAGGGAACATGTGAAAACACAACTTTTACTGGTTGACTTAATCAACTTAGTTTGCAACGCATTTACAGACAAGAGTAGATGTTGGAAATGGGCAATAAAGACATTGTTTTTAAAGACATCCTACAACCAATTCATCCAGCAACAAATAAGCCTACTGTGTACAAATACTTTCAAGCCAGCCTAAGACCACTCGGCCATCCTGATTGCGTAAAGGCTTTAATCAGGGGACGTATTGCTATATATCATGAAAGAGTACATATGTGTCATGATACAGTATACCTTTTTAT